CCCATCAAATCTACTCTACCTCACACCTCAAAATACCATCCCAAATGCCGAAAGACTAAATGGTTTTACTCTAAGATCAGGAACAAGACAAGGATGTCCACTCTTGCCTCTCCAATTCAACATGGTGCTGTAAGTCCTAGCCAGTGCAAAAGAAAAAGAAATAAAAGGCATATTGATTAGGAAGAACTAAAACTGTCCCTATTTGTCAATGACATGATTGTCTACATAGAAGATGGTAAGGAATCCACATACAGAAACACAAAACTCTTGGAACTAATAAGTGAGTTTAGCAAGGTCATAGGATACAAGGTCAAAACATAAAAATCAGTTGTATTTCTATATACTAGCAATGAACAATTTAAAATAATGATATGATAATAGTGCCCCCCAAAGTGAAATACAGCCATATAAATCTAACAAAACACAGGATCTGTATGCTGAAGACTACAAAGGACTAAATGCGTGGAGAGATATACTGTGGTCATGATTAGAAGACCGAACATTGCAAATAGGTAAACACAAATATGTAAACACAATACCAATCGAACTATAGTAATAGAGAACAGAGCTGAGGTAGCTGGGTTTAAGGATGGGGGCTTCTGTGACTACAAAGAGACAGCACAAGAGACTGTTTTGGAGTGGTAGAACCGTCTGTATCCTGATGTTGTGGAGGTTACATGAATCTATACACCTGTTAAACTTTGGAATCTTCATTCTACAGCTGGGAAATCAGGAGACCACCCTTGGGCAGGTCACTGGTGGTAACCTCCTTGCTAATTCTGGAAGCAGCAGCCCTATAGTCAGAGTTCTGCTCTGCCACTTTCTTGCTTCTAATTTTGGGCAAGTCACATCTCCTTTCAACACCTTGGTTTTCTCATCTACAAAGGAGATCTCTTTCAACTTCATAGGTTATTAGTGAGAAATCATGAAGCGTGGTACACAGGCCTTTTTCATGTTGTCTGTGTGCTTCATAGATTGTTTATATAATCCCCCAGAAAGTAGTGTTTGTATTTTATTGAAGACAGGAAAGTGTCTGACAACTTTTTGGGTTTTCCGACTGAGCCCCGCGCCCCCGCAATTAACCAGCACCCAGATCAATCCACAGAACTTTACCAGCCCCTCACAAGTTCCCTGTGCCCCCTTTAGTCTCCACACCCTCCCCCCCCCCTGCGAGTGTAGACTTTATCTTATCTTCTAACACCCTTGGCCAGTTTTTATACTTTGTATCATTGGAATCGCCCTATATGTATTTTTGGGTCCGCTTCCTTCACACAACCTCACCCTTGCAAGATTCATCCAAGCTGCTGTGTGGAGCCGTTGATCATTCATTCTCATCATAAATTTCCATCTTGTGAACCCACACAACGTGTTCATCCATCCTGCTGAAGATGGACATCGCGAGTCCACCATGAACAGGGCTGATATAAACGTACTTGTACATGTCTTTTGGTGAATACATGCTCCTTTCCCTTGGAGATAAATGGGTTGGAGAGCATGTGTGTGGTGTCAGCTCTGGTAGATGCTGCCCGTTTTCCAAAGTGGTTGTACCAATCGACAGCCCACCAGCGGTGAACAGATACTCTGGTAGCTCCACATTCTTGCCAACGCTGGACTTTTCTGCACACACAAAGGAAGGATTTGGGGTGATTCTTCCCTTTTCCCACCTCCCCCCTTAGAGCACGAGCTTTCAGCTGATGTAAATATTTACTGTGCCAAGCACTGGAGTACAGACAAACAAGGCAAAGTCCCCATTCTTAGGAGCTCTCAATGTGATGAGTGCGACAGATCAGGAAAGAATTATTACTTTCAAAATAGGGAGGTATGTGCAATGATTGAAATGGTATGAAGTTCAGAGGTAGTAGAGGGTCATGAGTGATCATCCTGGAGGCTTCCTGAAAGAGGTGACTTCTGTTTTTAAACTATTTTGAAGACTATTTTAATGTATTGATATTACATATCAATTTTTATGATGCTAGGATTTACTCTAGAAATGTTTGGAAAGTATAGTAGAATTAAAAAAAAACAAATAGAAATCATCTGAAATCCCACCAGAGTTAAGTGCTGCAGATGTTAGATGTAGGGTATTTCCTTTCGATACCTTCCCTCCCCTCCCCCACTGCCAAGCTGGGTTTTTAAGGAACCAGGGGGATGAAGAAGGGGTGGAAAGCACAGAGCTGTGCAATTAGGTGGCATGGCTGGTGAACGCTGGGTGTTTTGTGGAATGTGGTACAGATGAACCCTTACCTCTGGGCACCGAAGTGCAGCATGTATGTTTTAAAGACTGAATCAAGATCATGATTTCCAGTGGTTTCTTATCTACCACGACACTTTTTTTTTTTTAGCTGAGCCATCCTGCCACCTGTTGGCAGCTCAGCGACAGCTCAGCTCAGCTCGGGCCAGGAATCGAACCGGCAACCCTGTTGCTCAGTGCTTGCACTCTTGAGCGAGCTCTTAACCAACTGAGCCACTCGGCTGGCCCTATCATGGCACTCTTAACAGTAGACTGTTGTTCATCATTGCTGTTTCTCATGTAAAAAATAATAAAAATGGAGCCACTTCAAAATGGAGTCAGTGGGCCGGCCGAGTGGCACGTTGGTTAAGAGTTGGCTTAGGACGCCAGCTCTGAGCAGCAGGGCCCTGGTTTGGATCCCACGTGAGGGCCAATGACGCTGTGCCCTCTACAGGTAAGATGGTGAACAATGGCTCTACCTGGAGCTGGGCTGCTGTGAGTCGCTGGCGACGGTGTAGACTGCAGTGGGGCTGGCCGGCAGCTGGCGTGCACCTTCATCCAATGGCCGGCGAGCGACTGCCTCAGCCGGGAAGAGCGGAATGATAATACTAACATGGGCCAGTGAGGCGATGTCCTCCACAACTAGACTGAGGAACAAAAGGACAGCAACTTGTCTGTTCCCCTTCCCCGATTCCCCAATGCTGTTCCCCTCCCCCAATTTCCAAAAAAAAATCTTTAAAAAAAAAAAAAGGAGTCGCAGCTGCCATCCCAGAGGAACTGCCTTGCACATCTTACTTCTCAAGCCTCGGGAATGTTAAAAGTGGGCAAAATGGCCTTTGGACTCGACCCAAAGCAGCCTTGTAGCCAAACAACTGTTTGCAAAGATAACAGGAAAGCAAATGTTATGACAATGACATTATGACTGAACCTTAACGATTTTCTTTAGATTTAGCATCACTGTTAGTTTACCTGCACCTATAGAGGAATTCCTTCCATAGCCTATCTGCGCCCATAGAAACTCCTTCCTTCTATTCGTGTGATTGTTCCTTCCCTTCCTCATAAATACCCCTTGTCTTCCCTCCTTCACGCTATTTGGGTTTCCGCCTGAATCAGTGCTTCCCAGAACTGCAGTTCTTTTTGGATCCCAAATAAATGCTGGTTGCCTCTCACTTTTAATTTTTCGGTTAACACTCACAACAAATGGAATAATCATTTTTATCTTGGTTTTGGTGGAAATAATAACATTACTTCCCACTGAAACTCTTGCCATTTAAAATTCGTCATCGTCCAGTAGCATTTATACACAACAGGGGCAGGACATTTCTTAGCTGCCAATGGGGTTACGTTACGCCTTGTGAACCAAACAGGATGACCACATTTTAAAAACATCCTTATGCCATTAATACATGCTCATTTTAGTCAATTTGGAAAAGTCAAAAAAAATCAAAATAAAAAAGAAATAATCATTCATAGTCCTGCTGCCCAGAAAAAGCCACAATTAACATTTTGGTGTATTTCCTTCCAGTCTTTTTTTTTTTTAATAACATTTTCCAAAAATTATAAAGGTAACATCTCAACACAGAAGAAAATTTGGGAATTGCAGAAAAAACGATCGGAGCCATCTGTAATGTTCAGAATCTGTAATGGCCACCCTTACCAGCCAGTCTTTTCCTGTATGTCACACCTATAGTTTTTATATCTCTCACCATAAATAGCAAGCTCTAGAAGAGAATATAGCAAATGTAGGCATCCCTCTAAAAAAGGGGGGACTCTTTGTCTCTGATGTGCTTGGGACATGGGTAATTAAAAGGCTGAAGACTGGGGCAGGCCGAGTGGCTCAATTGGTTAAGAGTTTGCTTAAGAGTACGAGCCCTGAGCAACAGGGTCGCTGGTTCGATCTCCACATGGGCCAGTGATGCTGCGCCTGAACTGAGCTGCCAACAGGTGGCAGGATGGCTCAGCTGGTGAGAATGTGTGCTCCTAATGACAAGATTGCCTGTTCGATGGTGGGCTATGCCCATCCAAGGCTGGGACTGAACTTGGCACCTTGAGCTGAGCTGCTGCCCTGATAGCTTAGTGCATAGAGCATGTGCTCTTAACAACAAGGTTGCCAGTTCAACTCCTGCATGAAAAAAATAAAATAAAATAAAAATAAAAAAGGCTGAAGACTGATGTTTTATAACAGTGCATTTCAAGGTGCAGTCCTGGAACCAGCAGCAGGGGCATTGCCTGCGTGCTTGTTGGGAGTGAAATCAGAGCCTCTGGGTGAGAGTAGGGGTGGGGTAGACTCTGTTTTCATAAGCCCTCTTAATAAAGAGATTCTGGTGCACGCTACAATGAGGAGTGCTTCACAGCAAGACCGAAATCTGGTGTCTGGTGGGTTCCGGGCTTCAGATGATTGAAAGTGGGAGTTCACTTGGGAGATGGGAAGGAACCACTCTGCAGCGTGGTGCTCCTTTATACTTCTGCAACTGTTTGTGTGATAAAGCTTCCTGAGGGAGGGCCACCTAGGTTTGCATCCCAATGCCTAGCCTCACACCTGGTCTATAATAGGTGCCCAAGAAATAATGCATGAATGAATTAACAAACAAATAAGTGAATGAACAAATGAACTCCGGAGCTGTGTCCCACTTGTCTTTTTTTTTTCATTTCTAGGATTGGAACATCAGCTAACATCAGCTAACAGCTGAGCACAGTCAGCCCACCCCCTCCCATCCACGTAGATTGCATCTCTGGGCTCCAGAGAGAGAGAGAGAGAGAAAGCGAGCAGGTCTTGGAGTGAACCATGATCTCACCATTCTTAGTGCTGGCCATTGGCACCTGCCTTACCACTTCCTTCGTGCCAGGTAAGATTGGGGGGTACAGGGGGAGGGATGGGGAGACCTGGACAGGTGGGATAGAATGAAGGTCGTGTCTATGTTCCATCCCAAGTTTTTAAGAGCTGGACACAAATGTTCAGGGTGGGAAACCCCAGCTCAACTACTGCATGTGCGAGTGTTGTCAGCCACTCTTTTTCTTTTTATAGTTCCCTGTTCTCTAATTAGGGGTTCTCTTCTCTCCAATAATCTGAAATATAACATATTTTATAAATTCTTCCAAGTCTTGGTATGCTAAGCCTTCTGTTGGTTTTGTCTACTGAACTCATGGAGTAGTACATTTCCTTGTGGCTTGTAATTCTTGCTTGCAAGCTCATCTTCAATAAGAGTTTGTTTTGTTTTCTATTGGAGACTCATATGGAAGTGTTTCTACAGTGCAGTATATACTGTATTGGGTTTTTCAACTAACTCTAGATAATATGTTTTTATATTAATTTCTCAGTTTGAGGTTCTTACATTATAAATTCAGACCCCACTTAGACATGGCTAACATTTGGAGTTGAGCCCACATTTCTCATGACTAACCTTCTTTCCCCATCCCTTCCACAGCTCTAAGGTCAAACGTGTCCATTAAATCAGCTTCAACCTAGACCTGTATCTGGCCTGACACCCCAAAGGTCTCTCAGCATTAGCTCCTCTTTACCTCTCTGGTTTTGAATTCCCTCTTAATGTCTGCCTCTTGGGGATATCCTTCCCCCTTGTCTTCCTTTTTCAAGCTGTGGACTGTTTTTTATGTTTTGTTTGTTTGTTTGTTTGTTTTTAGCATTTTTGCATCTGCAGCTGGAGAGGGGAGCCCTCCTTGGCTTAGTCCATTATGTGGCTGGAAGCCCCCACTTGCCTTCCCTGAGTCTTCATGTCTCCACCTGTTCAGTGGAGATAATAATCCCTCCTCCTTAAGACTGTTGTGGGATGATGAGGGACAGTCATAGTGTCTGGCAGGGAGTGAGGACTCTTAGGAAGACAATATTGCAACAGATTAGGAAATTGATGTACAGAGAAAGACTGGCCCTCCCAGGTCATGCAGCAAATCAGTGGCAGAGCTGGGAATAGAGCCTGAGCTACTGGATTCCCAGGCCATTCCTCCCTTTGTGACTCCATGGCACCTTTTGGTGTGTATCCTTGGGGACCCAAGGTCACTCTGGAACCGAGTCACTGCTTTCTTAGCACTCATAACCCACCTGGGTGAAAGGGGAGCAGAGGGACAAAAAGTGAAAGAATGAAAAAGTGATAAAAATGAAAAATCTTCAAATATTCAGCAGCTCAGTGTTTTTGTATCTCTTTCATTGTAGCCATTCTGATGGGTGATAGTACATTGTGCTTTCTTTCTTTCTTTTTTAAATTAGGTATAACTTACACTAAAGTACACAAATCTTATAGATGTAGCTTGATGAGTTTTTACGTATTTTGATATCTATGTACCCACCACTCAAATCAAGAAAGAACATTTCCAGTCGTGGAGCCCGACCCTCCCCCCAACCAACCCCACCCCTACCCCCAAGCCAAAGGAAGTGACTAAGCCTACTCCTGCCACCATAGATGAGTTTTGTCTGTTTTGAACTTTGTATAAATGGAATCACACAGTACATATTGACAAAGTACTCTTTTTTTTCTTTTTTAAAGATTTTTTTTAATTGGGGAGTTGGGGGATGGGAACAGCACTGGGGAATTGGGGGAAGGGGAACAGACAAGTTGCTGTCCTTTTTTTGTTCTTCAGTCTAGCCGTGGAGGACGTTGCTTCACTGGCCCAAGTTGGCACCATCATTGCGCTCTTCCCAGGTGAGGCAGATCAGTCGCCGTCTTCTGGACGGCCACTCACGGCTGGTTGCTGGCTACGTATGGTAGCCCATGGCAACCCACTGCAGCAGGGGCTGCAGCCTACGCCGTCACCGGTGACTCACGGCAACCCAGCTCCAGGTTGAGCTGTTGTTCAGCATCTTAGCTGTAGAGGGCAGCGTCACTGGCCCTCATATGTGGGATCCGAACCAGGCCTTCTGGCGTCCCAAGCCAGTTCTTAACCAATGCACCTCTCAGCCAGCCCAGGCAAAGTACTCTTTACATAGCATTATTTCATGAGCATTTGGGCATGTCATTTCATGGCCTCTGACAACAGTGGCCTCCAGATACTCAATTTCCCAAACCATCACTGCTTAACTCAGCTCTCTGACCATGAAGTCAGTTTGATAGCCTCTGAGCCATTCTGGGGACAGGCCCTGGGGTGGCTCTGGTGGAAAAGACAGGGCTCTGCAGGAAGCAAACACAGCGGGGAACTTGTCAAACTGGTCATAGAGCTTTTGTGGAGAAGGAGCCACAGATACAGGGTAGGCTGATGTGGGGGGGAGGGCTGGTTGTAGGTGGTCAGGTGGATAGAAGTTCACCACCACCCAGATGGCACCCAAATGTCCAAAAAGCCTTGGCACTGTGGTGTGTGTGGAGGAAGGGGACGGGAGCCAGCCCTGAGCCAGTGGGATCCCTGATCATAACCACTGGCCCGGGCACTTTCCCAGTCTTTATCTCCTTTAATCCTAAAGCTACCTGTAGGTAGCTATGTTCTCCCGTTTTCCCAGGCAGAAACTCGGGTGAGCGAAACTTGTCTGTAGACACACAGCTAGCTGGCTGGAAGGGCCAAGGCTGTCCAGACTCCAGCTTGGGGACTCTGCCAGCAGGGTCTGAAATTGGTGAGCTCAGCAGACACCTTCAGAAGAGAGTGGTGCTGCTGGGGGCTGCCAGGGTGAAGGTGGTGGGCTAAGGAATTGGGGGTGGGGTGACATAAGAGGAGGCCTCTTGGGAAAGGGATGTGGAGGGTGGGTAGGTTCAAGGCTTGAGGTTGAGAGCTGCTTCCTTCTACTCTTTGCCCATCTGAGGCAGAGGCACGGCCCCAGAGATGTGTGGATTTCCTGTTTTTCTTCTGTGGCTCTGATCTTGGGACCCTCAGTTTCATTTTGTAACATGGAGGAGATAATGGCCGCCACCCCATAGGCCGACGGGAGTTGAAGGAGCTGCTGCTGTGTGCGAAGCACCCGGCACTTGCCTGGAAACCGTGCTTGTGAGAAAGGAGAGCTGTGCTCTTCACCCACAGCTGCCCTGGAAGGCAACGTGGGCCTGAGTCGGTCCAAAGGATGAGGATCGCGCCCTCAGCCCATGAGCATGCAACAAGCCTTTGGACAAGACCCTCCCACCCCTCCTGGCCTCAGCCTCCCCTTCGATGCAGTGGGAGGCCATGGAGAGAGACTCCCCAAGGAGCTTCCATCTCCAGGCTTCTGTACTCTGCTGGGCAGGTCTGATGGGGCCTAAGAACAGAGGAGAGCCCAGCAGACAATGGGAAGGACCCTGACGCCTGTGGGCAGGGGTCCTGGGCCTCTGCTTAGAAGAACAAGGGGTCCAGGTCTGGCGATGGAATTACTAGGGGAAGAGAGGGTGGGATTTTGATCCTCTGTTGAGGGCCAGGTGTGTCACTTCCCTTGTCTAATCCAGTCCTCATAAGACCCTGAGAGGAAGGTACAAACAACCGTATTTGAAGGGGAGGAAACTGAGGTTTCCTTGGGGAGGTGACTTATGCACACTTGGCACAGCAGGGGGTTTAATTGAGGCCTGTCAGGCACTCCAGCTGTGTGCTTTGCTTTGGAGGACTGACTACTGACTGGATACATGAGGGGTGGGGGAGGAGAAGGGAGAGGGAGAGGGCGAGAGATAAAGAAAGAGAGAAGAGAGCGTTCCTGGTTCCCATTTTATCTCAAGATTAGAAATACAGAACGTGCTAATGTATCCTAACAGGATTCTCTGTGGCTACTTTAAATTTGGTACATTAAACAAAAGGCAAGTCTTTAAGCAAAGGACAAGTCTTGCTTTGCAGCACTGCTGTTAACATTGTCACTAAGTCAGGTTCCTGCTGAACCTACTTTAATGAGTAAGCCAAGCAGAGTTTATAATTGATGGCTGGATACGTCTGGGGACCCCAGCAGTTGGAAATAGTTTGTTCCCTTGAACGGCTTAAACATTACCTTCCTAATTGCACTAGCACAATTCATTTGCTGCCTTAGCAGAATGTCTCTGAAAGAGCCTGGGCTTTGGCGTGAAGCCCAGCTATGCCAGTGTCCGCCAGTGCTGTGTGGCCTTGGGCGAGGCGCTTCGTGTCTCTGAGCCTTGGTTTCTTCATTCTGAACTATGGGGAGAAGACCCAGGATCCACAGGCTTGTTTGGAGGATCAGATTGGTATATGTTTACAAACCACATGGCGGCTCTCAGATGGGCAACTACTGTTTTCTCCCCAAGTCCTGGTGCCCTGCCTGCCCTTAGGCATGAGAGGTTGGGGTATCTGTAAGTCTGGGCATGAGAAACTACCCTTACTACCTGCCAAATAACTTTGCCTCGCTGTCTATACAGAGAAAGAGAAAGACCCCAAGTACTGGAGAGACCAAGCTCAGCAGACCCTGAAATATGCCCTCACACTTCAGAATCTCAACACCAACGTGGCTAAGAATGTCATCATGTTCCTGGGAGATGGTGAGGCCCGTGGGATATGCCTAGAAAGGGGCCCATGGAGCCAGGCAGAGGTGAAGAGGGCCATGTTGCAGAGCCTGGGGCCCTGGGGAGCATGTTGAAGAGAATGGGGGTCGGAGAGCAAACTGTGAACCCAAGAGATCTGCTGTGCTAGGCGAAGATCTGGGGGGGAAAGGGAAGAGAGGGGCTGCAGTCACATTTACAGAGACATGTTCTAGTGCCCACTGCTCAGCCTGCCTTGGCACCAAACTCGAGAGGTCTGGGTGCCTGAGAAGGTTGATTGGAGAGGCAGGAAGCCCGAGGGACTGAGGCCTCCCTCTCCCTACCACAGGGATGGGTGTCTCCACTGTGACGGCCGCCCGCATCCTCAAGGGTCAGCTGCACCACAACCCTGGGGAGGAGACCAGGCTGGAGATGGACAAGTTCCCCTACGTGGCCCTCTCCAAGGTGAGGTCCAGCCCCTACCCCATTGGGCCCAAGCCTCCCACTCCTCAGCGTGACAGCTTGCAGGAAAGGGCAGGGGTGCGGGGTCTGCTCCACCTCTCCAGCTGCCGCAGGCCCTGGCAGGGTGGTCAGCCCTCCTGGGGTCTCTGTGGCCTCACTGTGAAATGATGACAGCTGCGGCTACATCCCAAGACTTTGACAGTTTTAGCTCGTTGATTTACAAAAATCTTTTGAAGGATAGCATACACAGAGAAAAGCGCACAAGGGCACAGCTTGAATTTTCACGAGCTGCCCATGTTGGCATAATCAGCATCCAGGTGAAGAAGCGGAACATGACAGAAGCGAGAGGTCCTCCCGAACGCCCCTCCGGTCCCCCAGCCCCCTGCCTACCCACCCTGACTTCTAACACCATAGATTAGACGTTCCTCCTTTTGTACTTGCTATAAATTACGGAATCGTCAGTCTATATGCTTCTCCTAGAGGTTCTGTCGTAGTCACTCTCTCCCCAGGTGGCTCGGGAGTTAATTAGATTACGAGTGTAAAGTGGTAGCTGTTGTTACTGGTGTTGGTGGTGGTGGTGGTATTCTGTAATAAAGATCCTCTAGACACTCGGGGGAACAGAAGGGACTGAAACATTTTCTGTGCCTTCAAGGAGCTCTCAGGCTGACGGGGAAGGGAGACAGTTTCGGGGTCTCTACTAGAGGTCTGCAGGGTATGTGTGGTGGTGGGGAGGTCCTCCTCCCCAATTCCGCATTCTAGATCCTGCCTCCCCATCGCTTTCCCGCCCCTTCCCCCAGCCCACCTCTCTCGCTCCTTCAGGAGTCCCCTCTCTCCTTTCTCCAGAACTCACCTGCCTCGCCCTCCCCTTTGCTGGCTCCCCAACCCCAGACCCAGAGAAAGGCCTGAGCTGACCCAGCCCCCACTCTTCTGCACATGTTTCCATGTGTGGGGGAGTTGCCTTCCTGCCCCTTCCTGCTGCCCTGACTGCCAGGGCAGGGCGAGTGAGAGCAGAAAGCAGGCAGCTAGGTGATCCGGTGGCTCTGGGGGGACCACGTGGGTAGCAGGGCTCGGCCAAGGGTGCAGGAGGCCTCTCTGTCTCCCCCATACCCCAGGCCCCATGGTGTGAGTGGGAGTGGGGCAGGCAGCAGCGTAGGCCAAGGCCTGGCCGTCGCCTGACCCTCGTCCCCCACCTGCAGACGTACAACACCAATGCCCAGGTCCCTGACAGCGCAGGCACGGCCACCGCCTACTTGTGTGGGGTGAAGGCCAACGAAGGCACGGTGGGGGTGAGCGCAGCCACCCAGCGCTCCTACTGCAATACCACTCAGGGAAACGAGGTCACCTCCATCCTGCGCTGGGCCAAGGATGCCGGTGAGTGGGGTTCGCAGCGGGGAAGGCGGCCCAGCTCTGTGACCTGTCTGGGCCTCAGTCTTCCCAGCTGTACAATGGGGAGAGGGTAGAAAAACCTCTCCAGGGCTCTTCCAGCTCCAGTGTTCTGGGATCCTGTGAAATATTCAGGGGAATCCCATCTAGGACATGGCAGCCTAGTGGTTTAGGAACCCACTCCGATGTGGGTTTGGGTCCTGGCGCAGTTCCCTAAGCCTATTCATTTGACTATAAAATGGACATGAGAACATAGCCCCCTCATAGACTTGGTATGAGAAAGGCAAGGGGCCTAGCCCAGCGCCAGCCTCATGGGGGTTCAATAAGTGTCTCGTCCTCCCTTTCTCCTGGAATTAGGAGGCCCTGGCCCATGCCCCGAGAAACTTTAGAGTCAGGGTATGGGACCAGCTGACACAGGTGACAGACCCATAGAGAGCCCTTAGGAGGGGCCCCTGCAGGGCACCTGGTGGGGGGGTGGGGGCGCTTCCTGTAGGAGAGGTGTTCTTTGGGGTCCTTCGTGGAGGACAGGACCCCAGCCCACAGCTCAAGGGCCTGCTGGAGGGGAGCAGGTCACAGAGGAAGAGTGTCTGAGCTGCCAGGGTACTCGGAAGCCGCCATCGCCCACTTTAGGACTGATGTGGAGCCTGAGGCCCAGGCAATCGGTGGAACTGATGGGGACGGAGGGAAAAGGCAGCTTGGACACCCCACCTCCGGACAAAGCCAACGCCTCCTCTCCCGCACCCCAGGAAAATCCGTGGGCATCGTGACCACCACACGAGTGAACCACGCCACCCCCAGTGCCACCTATGCCCACTCTGCTGACCGGGACTGGTACTCGGACAATGAGATGCCCCCAGAGGCCCTGACCCAGGGCTGCAAGGACATTGCCTACCAGCTCATGCACAACATCAAGGACATTGAGGCAAGTTCGGGGGATGTGGCCAGAACGGGGACCGGCAGCCTTGTGAAGCAGGGCCTCTGATGGGCCCAAGGCCTCAGGTACAGGTTGGCATGGGAGAAGCAGCTTGGCCTGGCTCCCCACACACCTGGGAGGGCTCCCAGCCCATTATGGGATTTGTGGTTGGGGCAGGGAGGCTCTGTAGGATTTCTCTGTGGTGTGGCTGAGGGATAAACCCTGATGTGGCCTCCACCACACCTTTAAGAACCAGGCGCCCAGGGATCATTCCGTAATTGGAACCTGGCGCCACGCCCTCACAACACAGGGAGGCGGGGGTGGCAGAGTGGCCATCTGAGGGGAGTACCTGACCAATACATTCCCACGTGCGCAGACACGTACCTGTCTCGTGCACTCAACCAACATGCCCAGAGAAAAGGTGGTGGAAACGGTGGCTCGCCCAAGCTCTCAATTTTACACTTCCTGGGTTCAAACCTTTGCCCTCCTGTTTGCTATCTGTGTTACCTTGCATCAGTTACCTAACCTCTCTGAGCCTTCCCTTTTACAACCCCTTTATGAAGTGCACCTACCTCGTAAGCCCACTGCAAGATCTAAATAAAATAATCCCCGTAGAGTTTAGCCTAGGGCCTGACACTAGTCAGTGCTCAGAAAGTGGCAGCATTTATGCAGGAGCCACTTGTCCCAGCCCCGAAACACAAGCTTTGAATCCTGAGCAGGTTCAGGTATATAGGCGAGCACACACAGCTCAGGCATTGTCCGCCAGATGTTCAGATGGCACCCCACTCCCCCTTAAATGAGAGCCTCTGGCTTGTTCCTTTTCAGGCTCTTGTTACCTACTGCAGGGTCTGGTGAGGGAGCAAGGGGACTTGGGCCCCCTGAGCCTAGAATGGGGGTTCATTGAGGCTCAGAGGAACCCCCCAGGTCCTGCCTACCCCTTGCCTCTCTTTCTAACCCCACCAGAAAAACTCGCTGGCTCCCAGACCCACCCTCTGCCCCTCATGCTTTCCGCCCAATTTCTAAGTGCCACCTGGCCCCCCCCACCAGCCCTGACTTCCCTTTTCTGAGCAGTGGACTGAACACCTCTTTCAGGACAAGCAGTCCTGTGGACGACTCCTAGTGAGCGTGCATTCAAGGCAAAGCCGCCGTCCTGACTTGGCTTCCACTTGACTCGTGTGCTGGCCCGTCGCTTTTCCTCCCTGAGCCTCAGTTTCCCTGCCTGTACAAGAGCAGAACGCCCCGCCTGCCCCCTCACAGGGCCGCTGGAGGCCGGGATGAGGTCATGGATGTGAGAACATTTGTTGTACAAGCTGAGGCTATAATTACGGAGCTGCTCTTCAGAGAGTTTTGGCAGGAACAGCTGGAGAGGGGGAACAGGAGCTTAAGGGAAGATTTCTCTAGCGGGGGTGAGGGGTGGATTGGGGATGAACACGGGGGCCACTGGGGGGATGAGTGAGGGCGAAAGGGAGGCGGCGGGGCCCCGGCTGGCGAGCTCTGCCCCTGCTCGCCTGACTCTTTCTCCTCATCCTTGACTCGCCCATCTGCCCTGTATCATAGCCGCCTCGAAGCCCCCCAACCCCCAGGCTGTACATGAAACAAAAATCCTGGTGTCCGCCCTGAAAATAAATATCTTTTGCTAAAAAAACAAAAAATAAATAAATAAATGAAAGAAAGAAAGAAAGAAAGACAGAAAGACACAAACCCAAACCCCAAAGCCAAACAGCGAGCCTGTTATTTGGGAGTTTAATGAGCCCGTGTGAAGTCTCTGCTGGGGCTGGAAATGAGGAGGCGCCACGCAGGAAGATTGGGGGCTTCGTTTCCACTCGGAAAATGCCAAGGGGTCAGGTTCTGTGGGAACAATGTAGGGGGGCAAAGGGCCGGTGACCCGGGGCCCCGTCTCCTCTTTCCTCTCAGGGCCTGCCCCGCCCCCAGGGCTCCCGGCTGCAGCTGGCAGTGAGGAACTGGCCCCTGTGGGAATACTTTGATCGCCAGCTCTTCCGTGCCAGTAGAGTACCCTCCATGGAGGCTACCCCTGGGTGCCAGCGCTGCGCTGCATAACTGCATTTCTTCTTGTGACAATCCTGTGGCTGTGACTGTCCCGTGGGGAGGGTGTGTGTGTGTGTGTGGGGGGGTGTTCTTTCCATTTTATAGGTAAGGAAACTGAGGCTCAGAGAGGATAAGTGACAGGCCCTTGGTCAAGAAGGGATAGAGTCAGGATTCAAAGCCATGTCCTCTCCAGTTCCCCACGATCCAGGCTGGTCCTGGGGCACCTTCCCCACCTCGGCTCCCAGCCTAGACTCTCCACAGAACCTGGGTTCCCAGGAGGAAAATGAAATGGAAGGTAGAGAAGGGGGCCTTGAAATGCCGGGTCCAGGGACAGTGGATCTGGGGGCCTACCACAGCTGGGCTCTGCTCTCCCAAGGTGTCAGCCAGGGGCGGTGGCCTGGGCTGACGCCTGTGGTGACAGGAGGACACCGGTGTGGTGGTAACTGTGGGCGGCAGCTGTTATGCTCTTGGCCCCATTTTAAAAATAGTCAGGACTTCAAACATGGACTCCCAAGGAAAACAAACAGTCCCGCGTCCCTCCGCCCGCGCAGGCAGCGCGGCGGGTAAAATTAGCCTGGCGGTGACTACACAGACGTGAGCCCTGGCCTGCTGTTTGCCCAGGCTCCCAGCTGGACTGCCCCAAGACCTCCCTGGCTGAGTCCTCTGGCCCGCAGGCACTCTGCCTCTCACAGTGGGCAGAGGAGCCTCTTGGAGTCTTCATTCTTGGCTCTGCAGACACAGCAAGGCCCCCCCCCCCGTACCACCAGGGTCGGAGTTCGAATCCTAGCTCTGCCTCTTACTGGCTGTGTGGCCTTAGGGGAAAGAAATCACATTTCTGCACCCATTCCTTTGTTTGGAAGACGTGACCACAGGTTCCCTGTGGCTTCAGTGTGAAGTTGAGTAAGATAATGTGTCTGAGCGCTTGGTGCCTGACACACAGTGCTCTGTAGAAGGTATTATTTTTTACACAAGTGGGAGTTATGTGTCAGGCTTCTAGAAAGCCAGGTACGGGAGGTTATCAGTAGCTCCAATAGTTCACCCAGAAGTCCAACCACGGTCCCAGGAGACTCAGGATGTCACCTCCCCAAGCTGGAAAAATGGAGGTCCTGGGAGGGCAGGGTGGACTGAACCCAGGACTTGTCCGGCTAGAGAAGCATCCACACTTTCCCCAGGTGGGCACCATGGGGCTTCAGGGTGTCTTGGAACCGCAGGGCACTTACTGATGGCTCTTGTCCCCTTTAAAAGGTGATCATGGGGGGAGGCCGGAAGTACATGTTCCCCAAGAATAGAACCGACGTGGAGTATGACTTAGACGAGAAGGCCAGGGGCACACGGCTGGATGGCCTGAACCTCATCGACATCTGGAAGAGCTTCAAGCCGAGACACAAGGTAGCCCGTTCAGGGGCCAGATGGCTGTGGGGTGGCCTGCAGTGGGGGTGGCGCCGGAGAGCCCTCTCTGAATCTGTTTTCTCCTCTAAAATGGGGTCATGATTCTTATCTCAAAGGGCTCAGATGGTCTAGCAGATACATGAATAGCACATAGTAGGTGATCAATCATTTCCTTCCTTTAGGGGAGGGCAACGGAAAAAGCTAGGCAGTAAAGAGGAGGGTGGGCCAAGAAACCATCTGCATGGACATTCAGTCCACCTGAGCCCCTACTGTGTGCAGGGCCCCTGGATGGTCGTGAGGTCCAAAGGATAAATTAAATGGGCAAGGAAACATGCAATGCTGTGTGCTTGGATGGCGGGATGCCCAGGATTTATGGGAACCCAGAGGGGACAGACTACAGGGAGGGGCTAAGAAGGCCTGACGGGGCGGGGGGACTGGAGGGGGGAGCAGAGGAGGCAGTACCGGGGGATCTTGCCGACAGAGGTGGCATGGCGTGAGGTAGAACCCCTCCACAATGAGTTGGCTTTGGTCACGGTGGGGGCACGTGCTGGGGAAGGGGGGCTGGAGCGTGGGAAGGACCCAAACTCTGGCTCCCGGGGCATCTCTGGCCTTTTAAATCTGTGCTGCTGGCCGCTGGGCCTGGGGCAGCTGGGGTCTGGAAATGACTGTGGTCACGGCTGAAGACAGTGGGGAGCAGCCTGGCAGCCACTTTGATGTCACTCTGGGGTTGGGTTTCTGAGGGCTCCAGGACTGGCCCTGGGGGAGGCCTTGTGGGATGGGGCTGGGCCAAGGGTGAAGTGGGGGCAGGGGCCGGGGAATGGCCCCCACAGGGTTGGTGGGGGTGAGACTGAGCTGCTTTGAATCTTTTCCATTCCTTCTGAGTCAGCTTAGGCTGGGCCAGAGCCTCTCCCTACGCATGCCAGAGAGGCAGCACCCCTCCCAGCCTCAGTTTCTCTACCTGGAACATGGGACCAGAGCTTAATCTTTCTTGCCCATCGGGGTGCTTACCCTGGAGCTCAGTTTAGACTCCAAGCGGGAGGAAGAGGGCCTGCAGCACTGGACTGGACAAGGTATCCCTGTGAGGTCCCAGATAGGCTATCCATTCCTTCGAAATCACGCCTTAAGAGTAGGTTCTAGAGCGTCTTACCTCTACCACTGAATAGCTACATCTTCTGTGTATGTCAGTGTCCTCATCTATAAAGTAGGAATAATACCACCTACCTTATAGGGCTGATGTGAGGATTAAATGAGATAACACACCTCAGGGAAGCAAAGGGAGGGGTGGGAGTGGGGGAACAGAGCCCCACTTTCTTAGCCTTCCCAACCCTTCTTCCCATAACAGCCCCTAAGGTTTGAAAACCACGGGTCCCAATGCCATTGCCCAGAGAAGGCAAGGGACTCCTGAGGACACACAGCTGATTGCTGGCTGTGCTAGGACCTCCCTTCCAGGCCCTGAAGGGCGCCATCTCCAGACAAGCCAACTGGCCTTTTCCTGTGGCCTCTATGCCCTGGGAGAGCAGCCCTTCCTTTATTGCCCCATTATATGGGGTCCCCAAGACAGAGCTAGGGCTTCTCTTCCTCCCTGGCTCCCCACGGCCCCCAGAACACACAGCCCATACCTCACAGTGAGCACTCCCAGGCCCCTTGTGACCTGTGCCTGCCCCTTCTATGCCCCGTGTTCTTCTACTTGGTTCGAACTCTACTTCCTGAACCCAGGCTGATCAATTCCTACTTGTCCTCCAGGACCTCACTGGGACATCACCTCCACCAGGAAGTCCTCCCTAATCCCAACTGTGAGCTCATAGCGCCCCCTGGTCTCTTGGAATTCTCACCCCCCTGCATTAGAATTGCCTGTTTATTTGTCATTTCTTGAGGGCAGGGATGGTAGATCCTCAGGGAGAAATTGTAAAAGGGCTGAAGGAAACAAATACATGCCCCAGGCTCTGAGACCAGCTGGGGTCGGTCCTTCCGACTACCCCAGCCCCGGCATGGCTGACACAGGCTCTTCCTCCTAGCACTCTCACTACGTCTGGAATCGCACTGAACTCCTGGCCCTCGACCCCAACACCGTGGACTACCTCTTAGGTAAGGGGGTCGGGACGTTGGAGTGGAGGATACCTGGCTGGGTGCCCTGGGCCTGGGGCTGTGTGATCCAGCCCCTGGGGGCTAGGCCCCCCGGCCTGTCCCCCTACCTAGGGACCTTTGTCCTCGGGCTCCAGGATCTGGGAGGGGGGAGGAAGGGGTTCTGGTTCGTAGAATTTCGGCCGGAAATTTACTGGGTGTGCAAGGTGAATAGCCCCACTGAGCACAAAGGGAGACTGGAGCTAAGAGACAGGAAGCAACATGGGCGTGCCCAGGTGAGTCTGAGCCCCGGCTGGACCAGGGATTTCAGCAGATCTCAGGCTAAGGGCAGGGGTATCTGGAACCCACCCTGCTGGGTGGCCAGGGCAGAAGCCAGCCAGGTGGTCTCTGCTGGTCTTGACTAGGCATTTCCCCCGCCTCCCCAGGGAGTGGGGGGCAGGGGTGGGGCCCCGGGGCAGCGCTAGGCTAGGTGGAATGAGACCTGAGCACCACCATGCAGACATCTGGGTCCTCCTTCCCACTTGGCTCTTGTGCCCAGCAAGTGGTGGCAAAATCTCCTACAAACATTTCCCAAGAAGCTCAGCTCCCAAGTCCTAGGTGTGTCATTAGAGATTATGGGCTCAGAGCTGGGCGTCTGGAGGATCCGCTGGATACGCGCACACACAGCCCTTTGCTCACCTGGGTCACATGGCACAGACCCCACACCACACACAGGCTGTGTAGAGCTGTGCATGTACCCAGGGAGCATGACAGTTCCACACATGCCTCTTAGTGCCAGAGTGCTGGGTTCAAATCCAGCTCCTACCGCCTGTGAGCTGTGCAACCTTGGGCAAGTGATTTCTCCTCTCTGTGCCTCACTTTCCTCTTCTATAAAGGCGGTATAATGACTCTTCTATAAAATGGGCATAATGATAGGGCCTACCTAAGGGCTGTCATGAGGATTAAATGAGCTAATGCATTGTATAGGCTATCTGCATAACTGATTATCCCAAAACTTAAGAGTTTAATATAAGAGTAAACCTTTATTACTTCACACACTTTCTTTGGGCCAGGAATTTGGGAGCAGCTTAGCTGGGTCTCTCATTAGGCTGTAGTCATCTGAAGGCTTGAGTAGGCCTGGCCCCTCCAAGATGGCTCACTCATATGGCTAAGTTGGTGCAGGCTGTTGATAGCAGGACTCTCAGCTCCTTGCCCCATGGATCGCTCCATAGAGCTGCTTGAGTGTCCTCACAACATGGTGGCTGGCTTCCCCCAGAAATCCAAAAGTGTACAAGGCAGAAACCGCAGTGTCTT